ACATGTGACCATGCACATCATCTCAGGGGAGGAAAATGAGATCTCATAAGATTACAGATGAGATTTTCCAGCAATGCACTGCTGATGTAGCCTTCCCAGGATGCAACACTTTGGTACATTACATCATTTGTGCCAAAAGTGGACCAGGAAGCAGATGAACTCTATTTGTGAGTGAATAAAAAATATGTTTGTTTACCTAATGAATGTAAGATGATTTTAAATCGGTACGGAGAGCTGCATGCTAATGAGATTTTTAGTGAAAGGGAGTAAAAGGTCCACTTTATGGAAAGAAGCTTTAATGCATACTTATTTTGTTGGGACCAGTTTATTTAAGTAATCGTGCTTGCCGAAACATTCTTCACTATACCACTTTCCATATCAACAGCTGTAAATCATACAGCACTCGGCAGAAAAGAGAAGAGTGTGAAACAATCTAAACATACACAAGATGGCAGCACTTCAGCGTATATATTGTATATTCCGTAGTATAGAAACATTTTTTTCAGGAACGCTAATAAAAAATCAATAAAGTTTCTTAACGTGAGCGGTTTGTAGCTGCAAGGTTCACATAAAAATAGCATTACAAGTCTGGCTCTTCCTAAAGATCGGAACGTTTTTACAGATTCTATAAACCACCCAGGAAGGATTTTTGGCAGAGCGAGCACCAGCTCACCACACCCTTGATGTGTATTTATTATAATGAATAACATTTTATTAACATTTTGTTTAAAATGTAACAAAATAATTCCACAGAGAAAAAAATAGACATGAAAAAAGCCAGCATCCATCTCACAACACACAAACTCAAATCCATTCCCAGAAAAAGTGTATAATATAATAAGTGAATTTACAGCAGATGAGAAGAAATACTACATCCTAACTCACAGATTATGTACAGTTCACTATGGTGAATATTTTACTATTTTTAGGGTCCCCCAGCTAGAGTAGTTCATATTGAAGTTGAGTAATAAGGAGTTAGTGTAGGATTAAACAACAAACAAATATACATTACCCAGGTAAGTATTTCTTTACATTTTTGCCCAAACACAGTCAGCATGTTTCCAAAGTTTTGGCTCTAACTCTCAGCTCGGCTTCCCTGAACTTCCTTTCCAGCACATTCTCCATCAGCTGTCCATCTACTAGCTTGGAGAAAGAAGGAGGGAAGAACCAGGAGCCGGAGAGTGTCCTTGACTTGCTGTGTCTATTTGTGGAGGCGCACACAGTTTACTAGCACACACAAGGGTGGCTCTAGCAAGGGAAATGGAAAATGTAAGTTTAAAATGTAAAATCAGCTATTGAAAAAGCTTAAAACCTGTTATAAGCTTTAAAAAAAAAAAACTTTATTATCACTAACGACCTGAGCAAACATAGCCAAATCAGTTAGTGTCCTTTCAACAATAAGATAATAAATTAAGATATTGGTGTAGCATTGAGTTAGGATTCTCAGGTTCGATCAGGAGACTCAATTTAATCTTTAATCATCAAAACAAAAAGATACCTTACAGGTTTCGGGGGTTTTACCAGTCCCCCTTCATCAGGGCCTGTGCAGGTATGGGTTGACAGAAAGCTGGACTCAAAGAGGGTATCCTGGAGTAGAGTTCTCCAGTATGGATTAAATACCTGCTAAATAACTGCTACGGTCACCAGTTTAGCAGTCTTTTATGTTCTTATGATGAATAAAGATTGAATTTTACTCAGTTGAACAACTAAGAATAGACTTTTATGTTTAAAATAATGAAACCGGAAACATCAGGTGAGTGTGCAAGCCGTGAACAAAATTTAGGTAAGAAGAATGCAGTAAAGTTCAACTTGGTGCTTAGAGATTATATTGTTGTGACCAGGATCTATGAATATTTTTTGTGACCAGAATACCTAGAGAACAAATCCAAAATACCAAATATAAAATTTGTAGTGTCCTCAGTATACATATTACAGGTTCCTGAATTCAGTAGGTCAATTGTATATAATTGATTTGGAGTTCAATAGAATCGGTGAGTGAAATAAAATTAGATAGTTGGTCTCTTTTACTAATCACAATGGTAGGATAGGAGAACTACCTCACAATTATCTTCATCTAAAGTTGGAATAGTTTCATTTCATTTGACATAACATAAAAAAATACAATGCTCCTGTGTGCCTTTCTTCCCGTCTTCAGGATATATGAAGATGTTATATAACATATATAAAGACCGTGCGATCGTGTGCAGTTGCCTATTGGTGTCAATCAGGTTAAATCCATGCAGCAATCTCTGAAAAAGGGTACATGTGCCTTTTTTTCACGACATGCACAGTGTGTTTTTTTCAACTGTGATCGTGCATGATTGCATGGCTGGAATCGTGGTGGGAAACCGCGTGATCTGCCCGGCACGACTGGGGTGCTTTTCGAAAACAATGGCACCTGCAGAGCGATTAGTGGTGGTGTTCGACTCCATGACCACGCTGCCATCCATGCAGTTTCCTGCACGATCGCTGCGTGGTCACGGATTGCCCAGGTGTGAACCTAGCCGGAAAGCTGCACATTGAGACATGTTTATGAATCTGGTCTGGAAAATGGTGTGAAACTGCCCGCAGTTCCAGTGCATTTCAGACCAGAAAAAATGAGACATTCAGAATTTTTCTGGTCTGGTCTGGTCTGGTCTGAAACTGACTGCGCTGGTGTGAACAGAGGCCAGAAATAGCATAGGGATACATTAGGATGCATTTTGGGTCTGTTAATGGTCTGGTCTGGTCTGGAGATGATCTGGATGTGGTGTGAATAGGCCCTAAAACGGAATAAATAAATAAGCATATTTGCACTGTGTTGGCTAACAGGTAACTTGAACATCTTCTGATAAAATACAGTGTTTTTGTTGCCTTTCTTCAAGTCTTCCTATGAGGAGGTCATGTCATTTTTCCTACTTGAGTGAAACCACAGGATGAACTTGGCAGCTGCGGCTATTCCCTTCTGTTTCTGCAACAATGAATGTGTTCAGCACTTCCATTATTGTGCTATATATACTTTAGATCTGGCCCTTCCTTCAGCATGTTCTCAGGAAGTCACATATTGTACCGAAGGGAAACTTAAATGCCACAACTACATAGCTAAAATGTAATTTCACTAACCGAAAGGTGTTTGGAATATGGATGTTTCATTTAATCGTGGGACGGCATATTTACATGTATATAATCTATTTTTATGCCTCATGTAGCGCTTTTACAAGGTCAATAATATGCCCAGATTGTCCCTCTATCCTGTGTATTCCCTAAATGCAGCTCTGGTATGTTTTTGTTGCTGGTTGTTTTGATCTATACTTCCTGATACTTTCCTTGTTCTGGCAAATCCCTTATCGGCACTAGGCTTTCTTTTCCCTATGGCTTCCCAGCAGAATGTCTACTGAGCATAACACACAGCGCTGATCCTCTGTGAACTAGGAAACCTTGTGATAAAGTCCATACTATCAGCCTGCTCATGGTCACTAAACAAACAAATGCGTCACTGGCTCAGGGAATCGTATGCTAGTTAATTTATGCCTGAATCACTTCTAACCATATTATTCATTTACATTATACTGGACAATTTTTCCCTATTCACTTAAAGCCGAACTTCTGCCTTGCCTTCCATCTTGCACAGTTGTACTGGCTCCTCTGCTGGACTGAAATAGCTTATTCTGATTTCCCTGCACACTGACAGCTTCTTACAGTGTGCATTAGAACGTGCATCAAGTGATATAGAGCAGTGTTCCCCAACCCCGGTCTGCGGATCAAATGGTACCGGGCACAGTCTCAGTGTGGTCCGGCCATGCAATATATGGCAGTGGGGGGTCCCGGTGTTCGAACACCGGGGCCCCGCACTGCCGACGTGCTTCACAGTGAGGGGGCGGGTCCTGTGACTCTCCTCCCCTCCTGGCCGCGTCTATAGTAACAGGCGGCGGGAGGGGAGGTGAGTCACAGGAGACGTGTGTGTGTCACACGCCCCGCCCCGCCCCCTGCAGTGAGTGCACACATCGACACATGGCTGCTGCTCCTGGAAGGGTGAGTCTGAGCGGGGGAAGGGGGGGGGTCTTACATCATGTCATTAGACGTAGATTATAATGGGAAATATTACACTGTAATGTTCCCTATTATAATCTATTTCTCTGTTATGTACTGCTATTTTATGTAATTAGAAAAGTGGATTATAATGGGGAATATTACACTGTAATGTTCCCTATTATAATCTATTTCTCTGTTATGTACTGCTATTTTATGTAATTAGACAAATGGATTATAATGGGGAATATTACACTGTAATGTTCCCTATTATAATCTATTTCTCTGATTAAATGATTACAGGTAGGCATGTGATCTATCAAAGTTTGAGACTACGTTAGAATGTGTGACCAGTGACGTGGTCACACATTTTAACGTAATCTCGCCCAGTTTTTCGGTGGTGGAATAGGTGAAGAATTCCAACGCTTTCATTTTTTGGTGTAACTGTATTTTATTTTGAAGGCATTTTTAAATACAATTAAATTAAAATTATTAAATCAAAACAATCTAAAATATAAACAATCAACGTCCCCCCCTCAGCGGGCCACGGTAAAATTATCAAACGTTGACCGGTCTGCGGCGATAAAAAGGTTGGGGAGCACTGATATAGAGCACGCCTCATTTCCTGCCGAACACATCTAGCCCTTCCTTTCTCAGCCTGACTGGCCCCTGGCTCTTTCATTCATTGGATTTCAGATCTTTTAATCATGAAGAGCTTAGAATCACATACTGCTTGAGAAGGGGTGCTTTTGCATGCAAGAGCAGCCTGCCCAGGAACAACTACTCCTTTAGACTGACATCCACCCATCAAGGCATTTTTATATTGAATAGCTCCTCCCAAGAGTTAGCCTATTGCTTACATCAGGGCTGAGGGCTCTTCAGAGGAGTACAGAGGCAGGGTGCTGTGATGTTTTCATAGAGCTATGTACAGCAACCATGGGTGCCCCTCCAACCAGCTATGATCTGCCTACATGGCATAGACAAGCATGAAAACCTAGTGATGATGTCCTGGGTCTAAAATAAGGTATGTAATGAGAAACTTAAAGGTTGTCATTAGTATGTTGATTAAGTGGAATCAAGGAAGGCAAAAAAAAGCAGATTAATGCGTATTTCCAATTTTGCAGTCAAATTTGAGAAACCCCTCCATATGTTTGTTTTGTTTTCCCATTCACACAGCATAATGAAGCACAGTGGGGGCAGCACAGTGGCGTAGTGGTTAGCGCTTCTGCCTTGCAGCACTGGGGGTCCCCGGCTCGTATCCCAGCCAGGTCACTATCTGCAAGGAGTTTGTATGTTCTCCCTGTGCTTGCATGGGTTTCCTCCGGGTACTCCGGTTTCCTCCCACACTCCAAAGACATGCTGGAAGGTTAATTGGCTCCTGTCTAAGTTGGCCCTGTATGCATGTGAAATAGGGACCTTAGATTGTAAGCTCCTTGAGGGCAGGAACTGTGAATGTGCAACTATGTAAAGTGCTGTGTAAATTGTCGGCGCTATAGAAATACCTGTAATAATAATAATGAAAAATAATGTAAAACATTTTAATTTGTTCAATAGGTGCACAAAAATACCCGTTGATCCTGCCAGGAATGCAGTGCTGCCCTGTGCATTCTGCAGTGTTATCTCAAACAATGTTATCAGGAAGTGTGTTAGGACTACAGAACACCTACACCATGGTATAGAGAAGAGTAGAGGGGGAGTCCTAATACACTTCCTGTCCTAGGGTGACAATGCTGTTCCTCTATTTGAACATTGTCCCTCTAGGACAGGAAGTGTGTTACTGGTGAAAACAAAGGAAAGAAGGCCTGAAAAAAGAAAAAACGAATATAGTCACCACATCCAAAGACTGGTAAGTTGCAATATAGTACATGTTTGTGTTTGAGATATTGATATCAAATTTGGAATGGCCTTTTCACTCTACGGATGCTTTTCTATGTCAAAGTATCACTGGACACACCTTGAAGACTGGAAATAAATGGGAGCTGTTCTCAGGACTCTGATAATGTTTATTCTTGCAACAGAATCAAACAATAAAGCTTTTTTTGTGGTGTGGCCAGGGCCATATTTAGGCATTATACTGCCCCAGGCACACCAGAGTAATGATGGCCTATTGCACAAGCTCTGCCCCTTGTATCATGGGAATATTTTATTCAAAACTAATGTTAGAGTTTGCTATTGGCAGCAGCATGAGGCTTGCTCTATATGCTGAACTATTTTTCCATCTTACATTCCTCCAGACACCAATAAGTAGAGATAGTTCATGAAATACAAAAAACCTTCTGACTCATTTACCCTACTTTTCTCTAGCCAAATATAGCTACAAATGTCTAGGAATTACAGAAGAAGGAATCATAATAATAAAAAAGATACCACAATTTGTACATTTTGAAGCTTGACTGACTTGCTGCTTCCTGTAACCCTATTACCCTAGACACTGGCCTACAAGGGTCACTATGGTAGGTACAGCCTGAAACTGCTTCAGAATTGTTTAAAAAATCTATATTGTGGGGCTACACGATATTGGTCAAGAATATACAGAATGCTTCACTCTATTCCGGGCCACTAAATCAGGAATAACCATTGCAAAACCCTTTTAAATGAGAAGACTGAGCATTTCTTGACTATCAGTTTACCTCTTGATATTTACTTTTATAACTTTTACTGAAATTATAGCATGGTATGCATTATTATCAGACTTCTTCTACTGGGTACTTACAGGTAATCAAACTGAAGTTCTGCAAAATACTTGTCAGATGCCTAGAAATACCTGAGAAGAGCATGCCAAATGGTTCAAAAGGGCTTAGCGTGCTTACAAGATCTTACCAAGGCTTCCATTAACAGGCATGTATGTTGGCTATTACGTATATCAGCATCCTCTATGTATTTTAAGGAGAACTATGAGGTGAGTGCTTTCACTCACCTCATAGTTCTAGCCGACCTGTGACAATGAGACTGTCACAGGTCGGCTCAGTAGATCGGGAGGTGAGCGAACACATACCGGCGTTCGCTCACCTCTCGATCCTGTCACGGCTCTCTGCCCTGACAGGGGAGGGGCTGGATTCCCCCCTCCCCGCTCCGATCCGCCAGCGTTGGCTGGCGGAATGGGAGGGGGGGTGGTGGGTACAGCTGGCTTTGCCTCTAGATAGGCAGAGCCAGCTGTCAGTCACGCAGCTGGGCGGATCCCGGCACAATTGTCGGGTTCCGCTTCAGCTGCGTCGTCTCAGTATACCGCGAGCAGCAGCTCGCTACAGCTCACGGTATACCGAGCATAGGGTGACGGGAGGACGCTAGTTTGTGTCCTCCCGTTACCCTAAGGAGAACTATGGGGAAAAGCCTTAACCCCATAGTTCTCCTTTAATAAAAGATCATATGGAAATTCCCCAATCACTGTTATAAGCAACGTATTTGTCAGGTGAAAGCATGTGTGCTTCATTTTCATATGTGAGAGCTATAATGCCTATTGACAAATACTGTATGTTTCCCTTGAGGAGGGAGCGCTGCCTGCTGTCAGGATGGCCGAGCGGTGAGGGGGAGAGAAGCCACGCCCACAGCTGTCAGGATGGCCCAGCGGGGAGGAGTTCGGAGCCGCTGTCATCCTGTCAGTTTCAGGATGACAGCAGCTCTGTGCGTGGCAGAGCGGGGGATCGGTAAATACCATTGATATTTACCGGTCCTCTTTGTGTGAAGAACAAACACTGGAGCGATCATTCGTTTCATCAAGCAAAACACTTTTTTATGCTATTTTGGATTCAGCCATTGGCGTGTTCTGGAGGCAGGGCTCATGACATCATATAATACCGCACGTGTTGGGCGCCGCCATCTTGGTGTATATCTAGGTATACACCAAGATGGTGGGGCCAATATCGGCGTGTGACGTCACCTGACGCCACGCATGCATGGCGTCATGTAACGTCATGCTCCCCGCATCCTAGATGGTGGCACGCATTCACAGAACACGCCAGTGGCCAACATGGCCGCCACACATTCTCAAACAAATTATTATGTGCCTGAATAAATTTTTTGTATATTCAGACATATAGTAATTCATTCATTTTACATGTAGTCTGGGTTTTGTGTTCTGTTTTCTATTTTTACTTTTCTACATACACCTATTTGAAAAAAGGGTGTCTGCATGACATCCTGACACTTTATTCTTATAGACTCTATTTTAGTTTGACATTTATTGTTTGCCTTCCGTTGTTTTATTTAATAAGAATACTTACATTGTGCCTACAAGTTTAATACCTTTGAATAAAAGTTTTACGGTACGGTACTTGGTATCGGTGCATTCCTAGTCAGCAAGGTTAGACTGTCCAATAAGGGAGCTTTGATATGTGCCAAACCCCTCATTATAAAACGCTATTTTCCCAGCAGCAATTTGTCAGTGTGTGTTAGAGCATTTTAGAGTGGGCAAGAGTTATTTGCGATACAGTGATAAATTATTGTGGATTGCAGTGTGGTGGGCTACGTTATGCATACATCTTATGTAAGAGTCTTTGTTAGTAAATCAGAACTACATTTTTGTGTGTCAGCAAAAACTGTTGCTGCAGTTTAGCTCCTACCTCCACCCCTTACCTTTTTTAGAATTGGGTTTGTCTTCTATTATTGCACGTTTTTCCATATTGTTTTACATTTTTTGCTAGGTTTAGTGTTTCAGGATTTATGGGGATGTATATTCTACTTTATAATCTGCTGCTAGAGTCTATTTTTTTTTCTTAGAAGTCTGCAGTGTACACTTGTTGCTGACACAGTCAAAGCTGGCAGTTGTTCGCAGAACATCATTGCATTCTTGTACGATAGTGTGCACCAAAGCACCACATATTTATTCACCTCATAGCCATAGGCATAGAGCAGCCTGTCGTCTGCAAGTGCTGCTAATGTGCACTCTTCCTCCTTCTCCTCCTCCTGCTATGAGAAGTTGGTGAATTGATTTGATCACATGATTAATGACTTGTTGCAGGAGGTTGATCTTGGTCATGTGCAAACATTACTTGTTAAATATGTTGAGGATGACATAGATAGTGTCATGATCATAGAGACGGAGGAAGGTTCAGCCACACAGCAGTCAGGGAGCAGCAAGGGGCAGTAATGTTCGAGCAGCTAGAGAGGGTGGATGATGAGGTGGCAGAGCGTCCATAGGTGTCAGTTAGAGAGGAGGAAGGTTCTCAGGCAAAAGGAAAACATCAGCAAGGGATTTTGTTTAGGGGCAGCTTGCAGAGGACTGGGGGAGAAGCTGTCTTATTCCATCTGATGGCACTGTCCCACAGGTACAAGCCACTGCTATCCCAAGGGCTAGTCCACAGAGATCTGCTGTGTGGGCCTTTCTTAATGCATCTGCTGCCGACTGCACTGTATTGTTCTGCAGTCTCTGCTTTCAGCGTATCAGCTATAGTAAAAGTACCAGCCATTTGGGTACTACATGTATGAGAAAAAAACATGACTCTACATCAAAAAGCTTGGTGGGAGCAGCACCTCAATGAGATAAGCCAGCCACAAAAGGCCCGCACTTTCTGTATCTCCCCACCTCCTGTTGCATACAAAGCAAATTCTGTGGTCTCTAGTGACAGGAGGGAAGTCTCACACGGGATTTTCAAGGGTTAGGATACAATGTCAAGTGGTAAATAGGGTAACAGGGCCACACTGATGGGGGTAAAATAAAGGCTTGAACCTCGGCAGAATTCACCCAACACTCACACCCCACCCTACAAAATAATGCTCCTAAATCACTCCCATGCCCAACATCCTAATCCCAGCTTGGCATAACAACTGGCTTTGCAGCTACTCCCATTTCAGCTTGTGGAATCAGCCCCCTTTCATCAATTTTTGGCCTGTCCTACACCACAATGGCAGACACCAAGCTGCCAATATTTTGCACATGACTTTAGACAGTCATACCCATCCATGGTTCACTTGTGGCACATGTACTTAACCTTGTGGTGCAGTGGTTCATCCCCCCAAAAAAATGGTTTCCGGGAGGCCCTTTATCAGGCCAGGAGGATTTGTAGCAACTTTAGA